AGATCGATAATGTATATTTACTGTTCTCAGCAGCAGGCAGCAGCAGTGGATGATTTTTTAAATATTTAATTGTAGTTTCTCCTTAAATATAAATCCTATGTGTAATTATAGGCAATTTAGATTTTTTCCATGCATTACCTAACTAACAAATCGCAGTGATTGCCAGGACCTGCAAAAAAGTCTGTAGGTGTTTCTAATTATACGTGACCTGGCAAGAAATCTCGGACCAAAATAAAGACCGTACGATTTGTTTCTGGCCCGTTAGAAAAAGTACCAGAGTAATGACAGCACCGAAATCGAATCCGTAGATAAAACGAAATTACCATCACAAAACAGCCGTATCCGCAGTGGTCTTATCGAAACGGCCGCTTCCTCGAAATCCATATCGCTAAATTACTTTTTTTTACACCTACAACCGTCATAACTTCATTGTGTAGGTACCCACTAGCTTAGATGCCGGTGTAGGTAGAATACGAAATTCGTGAATTTTAATTTTCATTATATGCAAATGTATACACAAAAGAGGCAAACCTGAATTTCAAGAGATGCAGGTGTTGCCTATAGTGGACTAATGAGAAGAAGAAGGCGTAGTTCTTTAGAAAAGAGAAATTCGATTGAAAACTTCGAAATAAATTTCGCATCCACAGAACCTTTTAATGGAGACAATTTTACATAATTTAACATAATTTATAAACCGAAACAGTGGATAGGTAATTGCTAAACAAAGGCTTTGGGTTTAAAAGAAAAACAAATACTTATTACACATTTTAGAATATGTATTTCTTATAAATTGTAGATAAATAGTAAACAATTACTTTGTTGGAACAGTGATGTAGTAAAAAATATATTAAAAAGGTTTGTAACTTCGAATTACTGCTTTTAATTATTTTCTGAAAAGTTATAGTCACTTCCAAACAATAAGTATACCAAAAATGAGTAACAGTTTTCCGATGGAGAACTAAAAACCCTCAATGATCCAATATGAAACGCAGTTTTTAATCAACTACTCAAGATCAAGTACGAACATAAACTTCAAACTTCATACAGTTAGGTGCCCCCATAGCAGTCATGCCCATTTATGCGAGCATTCATGTGTAAAAATATTTTTTTTACTGATTTGGATCTACCACTTTCAACCAAAAATTGTGTCACTTGGGCACCTTTCGAAGAATGCACTGCTCGCGAGTGGCACAAAATTTTATATATTGGCCTTTACCCAGATGCATTTATTCATTTCACACAAAGAAAATAAGGAATAACCTAAAGGTAACAATAAAACAAGGTAACAAGGGGTATCTTGAAACGTACGTAACATAAAGTGTAATGTAACAAAGGAGGCATAACTCATCAGAATGCCAACAGATGCGTAAATACCATTATAAAGTCAGATATAAGTATACAGTTAAAAATGTAGGCATCGTCAATCTTTGGTCACCACAACACGAACAATAAAAGAAAATTATATTGTATGAAAATCAGCATCAAATGTGTGACATTGAGTTATTTGCGAAAAAAGTATGACACGTTAAATCAGTCGTTTTTATTGAAGCATACAGTAGGTTAAGTTGAAAGAGTTCCTGAAGCCGTCTAGATAATTTTATCTTAATCTATTTCATATAGTGGTTCTTCTCTACGACCATTCACAGGTTTATTGTGGATGATTTTAGAGTTCCTCGTCTAGCTTTAAACCTTTTAACCACTTTGCGTTATATCATCTAAGAAACTTAAATTTCTTAACGTTGCCAAACCCTCCCAATAATCCACACCAACTTAGATTTAATCTAGTGTTCGTTGATAGCCTCAAACGCTTCCTAATCGTCGATATAAATAGCAGTCTATCGTTTGCGTTTACCATTTATTTATCTCCAGAAATGTAGGTGCACATGCCAGAGACCATAAGGATCCATCAAACAAATAAAAAATGCATTTAATTACATACGAATCAAAGAATGAACTATCGTGGGATCTTACTTTTCTAGGTACGTAAATAAGACATTGAACTCAAATGTCAACAATAATTAAAATAATATAACGTTGTTTTTTGAGATATACACAATATCTATGCAAACCGAACTATTTAACAACAAAATTGTAAGAAGTGGAAGATCATCGAGAGATCGTTACGTAACATAAATAGGATTCAGAACAATAGATTTTGAAAATATGATTTTAATTATTGTTCCAAGTCGCTGTTTATTAAACGTAAAACTGTCAATTTAAAATTATGTATCATTTTCGCCAATTTGGAGTGCTATTACCGAAGCTATTGGTATTTTACATCCAATACTCAGTCCTGTACTACAATTTCTTCGATAAAGATCACCCTCTGGGAAAAGTCCCCCAATTTTATTATGCACTGTTCCAGAGTTAAAAGTATTCAATGCAACTTGAAGTCTATCTTTAAATTATAGTAAACGGGCTGTTTCGTTTTCTTTGAAGGGCATTTACTGCATCATTTATGAGGGACCAATACAAAAAAATATATATATATCAATGTGTTAGCCAATTGCGTGACTTGAAGTTCACATTGACTAGTCAAACCAGTTCTACGAGTACGATAAACTCGAAATCTACATTTAGTCGTTTTAAATTTTCAGTCGTTGAAAATATAGGCTCTTGCCCATCTCAAATCCTGGGTTTCTTTATCGGTTTATTTCATGTTGTCTTTTAAACGAATTAACGATTAACGATAAAAGAATGGTATTAATTGCTTACTAGATACTGAGGATGTAATTTAATGTTGTACGGGGTTTTAGTCGGCAGAGTAGTTGTTCTGCACAATCTCATTGACATTAGATAGAAATGTTAAGAGAAAACCTTTGCTTTTAGAAAACGTAACTGTATATTATTTAGTACAGTGACAATTAAAATCTGCAAAATAGAAGTAACAACAAAAGTAACAACACATTTTGTATAAAAAATATATATCTGCTTTCGAGATAAATGACAAAATGTCATATCATGCGTAATTACTAGAGAAAAAAGGGTTGTTCCATTCATCGGAAGGCATTTTCGAGACCTTTATTCTCCTATTCCTAATTCACAATAAAAAATTTTGAACTTTATAAATTATTTTTTCTATTTTCCATTTTTCAATCTAATATGACTGGATTACATACAGTATTAAGAAATCTAAATAAAAAAAAAATAGTACCCAAGACATGTTTAACAGCAACTAAAACGAAATGTTGGATTATATTTAGGATGCATTTAGGCGTACACTTTTATTTTGTTTCTCGAAAAACGGCGGTACATTCTTCTATTATAATGAAGCATCGTCATCTCGCTACTGACTACCTTACCTAGTGCAGCGGTCATCATGACTACCGCTGACTCCATAAAGGTCCGGGTTCGACGGCCCACTGCAATTATTTTTTTCTACTCAATAATTATATACACAGATACCTTTTGCTAATGCCCTCGCCAATGTGTGGATACCAGCCACAAAGTTATATAATTTTTAATTTCTAAAAAAAAGATAAGCAAATTGTAAGGGTATGTAGGTAGGTACTTTGTTCCTGGAATAATAATAATACCGTCTCGAATGCCATTAAGGCAAGTTTAACACTCGTACCATCAGTTCTACCCTAAGAAGCGCCCCTGTCTATAGGTAAATACCCGGTTGATCCTACCTTTATTGTTATACTAGTGGTCATTCACACAAGTTACCAGTAACCTTGGATTTCTAGATAAAAGATTAAAAGGCAATAAATAAAATAAAACTTGGTGGCTGATGCTCTTTCTCAGTTATTCATTTATTGCTTTACCTTAACAAATTTAATTTCTTTACTATATACCCAAATAATAGTACCTAAAGATTATAAAAAAACAATTAGGTTTGTAGATGACAAAATGTTGTAAAAAGTAAGGGTATACCTATGCACGATTACTTCATATTGATAGAGTAATTATGTATGTAAATTGTCAGAAACGCGTGACTCATATTTTCCCTATCATTAGGGTTTTCTTTAGGGAAAATATACCTAGTTCAAAGAAGTGAATACATCGACAAATAATGTATTTCGTATTATTAAAAATAATTTGTAACTTTTCATTATTACGTACTGCGATTACGAATTTGATTCTTTTCTCAAACTTAAAATTGCATTTATTTGTACAAGTATATAATTCTGGTTCGAGTTGTTATTATCATTTACGAAAACCCATCAATACATGCTTATTTCTAACCATTTACGCCAAAGTTACTTTTTTATATAAACAACGTTAATATAATTTATTATAACATTAAATAAAAACATCTGGATTTTCAAGTCAAACCCACGTAATATTATGCGACTTTTATCATTTTGTCACTATTAGCCAATTGCTCCAATAAAGAAATAATAAGGTACCCAGCTACATACTTTTACACTTTTAATTACTTAGTTTCAATTTCAAGCCGCCACTCAATGTCAAAAATTAAAAAAAAAATCGACTGAAATCCAAACAATGAACTGTCAGAAATAGCAACAAAAATACTGACCTTATTTACGAAAAAATAAAATGAATTTGATTGTTTTTAAATGTTTGTATAACTTTTCACTACTCACTGAATCAGTCTCTATAAAAAATTATTTGTACTTCATACACCACATCACTGTACAACCGAATATAAACACCAGATATTTAAACACTGCTGCCTGCAACAGCCATTTTACATTTGTCTAAACTGAACGCAAAGCAGGCCAACAGACGAAACTGAAATCTGAAATGTGTTGTTTTACCAAACTCCCCTTCCCTACCACTGAAAATCGAACACAGTTTGTGCACTACCAAACAACTACCAATGGTGGTTTCAGTTAAGATCGGGATCTAAATTATTATGGAAATAACTTCCGATGCACTAATTTATTTTTGAATGGTAGTTAATTCTGGATTTCATTTAATTTTTATACAACTTGAAAAGTCGATGTCCTATTCTGAATTTCTGGTCAAGTTGCTTATGACGTCAGTTGCAAGTATACGCACTTTTTTCTTTATGTTGGTTATACACATAGGACGTCAGTTCTCTGTGGATGTCAAAAATTACATAACCATACATTTATTCTAAGGGTCGCTAATATTAAGGCGATTTTTTATTGAAAATCGCAGAAAATGGCGTCGAAAAGAATTGGAAAAAGTGCCATTAACTGGACTGCTTTGAGTGAAAGAGTTCCTGAGCACCAGAGAGCTCAGTATCTGGCATTTAAGTCGAAATCGGATGGATACCTGAGACGGTAAGGTCACCGTCATTTTTATGTAATCAAACTGAAATTAAATTTTGAAACATGACACTATTTGTTCAGTGCAATTAACCCAATCTTTGTAATGCAATGTAATGTAGGTTATATAACTCAATTCGTTGGTACCTTCCAAGTATTGATTTTTCATTTATTGATGACCAATGTACATATTCATTTCAATGATTAAGAATTCACTCTATATTTGACTACTACTTTACATAGTTGAATTATTTTTTTATTACAGTGTACTTGCTAACCCCGAACAAGCTCCCCCAATTGATTGGGCCTTTTACAAGCAGAAAGTGCCCGTAGCTGGAATGGTCGATGATTTCCAAAAGCAGTACAGTGCGTTGTCAATTCCTTATCCAGCAGACACTGTAAGCTCTCAAATCGATGCCCAGGAGAGAGAAATTAAGAGCGACATTCAGAAATTCAAAACTGAATCCGATGCACGCATTGCCGAGTAAGTTTTTTCGTCCAATGAAATAAAGTTATGATGATTAACGGTCATTTCGATTTTTAGATACAAGAAACAATTGGCTCATATAGCCGGGTTGATTCCATACGATCAAATGACTATGGAAGATTATCGTGACGCTTATCCAGAAGATGCTCTTGACCCCATCAACAGACCCACTTTCTGGCCCCACACTCCTGAAGAGCAGATTGATTACGTCCATAAGGATGCTCAGGAATCGAGCCATTAATCGTGCAGTTTTGCAATAGGTCGTAAAAAGTATATAGCAGTCTACAACCGAGTTTATATATTAGTGATTATATCTTGATGTTATTTCCAATAAATGAATTTACATTGTCATGTAGTGGCGTTCCTTTTGTCAAATAAAGAAACTGAATTTTACCGTTTTTATTTAATATGTGGCGATATTGTCTCGTCCGTTTTGTTATACCACAGTGAACGATTATATTATTTTCAAATATTGTTTTATTATGTACTGCAAGTTTGAATATCAGAAACGCACTGTGCTGTGTATAATTGGGCCATGTTAGGTAAAACAGTCGTAATTTTCTTTGCAATTTTGTAAATGTAATGAAACACCATAGACTGGTTATTTTATCGTTTGTTTAAACATGAGAAAAATTAAATTCGGGAATTTCAACCGAGCCAAAAAAGAAATCAAACAAGAAAACTATAACTATTTTCTTTGTCGATTTTAGTAATCACAGCCTTAAGGTATGCTACTTGCTACATCTCCGACTTGTTTAACTGGTTGCCTATATTCTAATAAATTCGATAAGTTTTCTGGCTACAGTATTGTGGACTGTTGTCACTATTGTGAGTTAAAAATACAATATTTGATAGTCCTCTCGAAGTCGCCTCCTCCGATATCAATAAATTTTAATTACTTATCATTTGCTAATCAGATACTGGCTTACTAGTCCAGTCAATGACCATTTTCCCGTATAATTTTGCCGAACAGCACCGATTTTCATAAAAATTTGGATTTAGGTTCTACTTACCCTCTACTTCAAAGTTGACTTTGTACCGGGGGTTGCTTTTACCCTGGGGGTGGATGCCACCCCTTCTCGGGGGTGAAAAATGTTTAATTAAAAATCACTTGTAAGCAACTTTTGTTCTATAAAGTTTTTTCTGAAAGTCAATACTTTTCGACTTATTCGCGAGTGAATGTAAATTTTTTAACAGAAAAAAACACTTTTTCAGACGGTTTTTGCGAATAATTCAAAAAGTATTTTAGCAAAAAAATCATTTTTATAAAAAATATAGCTTACCTATAAAAAACCAAAAAGAATGGTATGTTTATGGTATCTGTACAAGCGGAGTAGTAGCTTGTTGAAGGTTGGTTCTTATTCGTCAAACGCCAAATTTGAAAGTTTGAACGTGAAATAACCAAAAACCAATGCATTTTTCAGGGAATACTCAGAATCTTTTTTTTTAAAGTGCTTGAAAAAACCTTTATTTTTATTTTTTATACATATAAAGTCCCTAGCATCAAACCTAAGCGAGTTATGACGAAAACAAAGTTGGTCCGTATTTTTTTCGGCAACAGAAAACGTGAAAATCACCCCCTAAATACCACCCCAATTGAAAATAATCATTACCACCAAGTGAAAAGAGAATTTTTTTATTTTTGGAAAAGATTGTCTTTTCTTCAAAATAACTCAAAAATTATTAATGATACGTAAAATTTTGCAGAGTACAAAATTGTAGGTCTTACTTTTTGAAAATTTTGTTTTTTTTTCTGTAGGATAAAAATTAAGTAAGAAGTTTAAAGTTTGCATATGTTCGTAAATAGCAACTTGTTCAAGCCCGTTCAGCTCAAACCTTTACAAAAATAAGGGCTGAAAGAAAATTTAACTTATTTGATCTTGTAGCCCTTGAAAAAACCTACGAAATGTTTTTTGAAGGGCTTTTGAAAACTAAGCGAGTTATGTGTAAAAAACCAATCTCATATTTTTGTAAATATCAGAACACGTATATTAAAGCATTGATAAATACACATTACAGCTATATTTTAGGAATAGAAATAGGAATTTTAGGAATAGAATAGAAAAGGAAGATGAGAGTGAGGAGGATTTATATTATTTGCAATAAAAAATTTTTTATTATAAAAATAAAAAAATTAAAATCCATATAAAAATAAAATTCTTATTTTCCCTATTTTTGATTGCAAACTTTAATCAGTAGGTTTTTTTTTAAGGTTTGAAAATAAATAAATACATTACATTTTAAATAATAAAAAGATTGCATTATATTTTGAACTAAACAATTTTTTTAACTATAATTGTCCGATTTTTTTGCAATTTTTTATAAGAGTTGAAACTTATAAATAAATAATAAAAAATTAAAACAGTAAAGAAATATTAATTTAGTATCACTATATGATTAAATTATTCCAAGTTGCTGAATAATATTTTCCAACATTATTTTTTAATGATTACTGTCACAGGGGGTGGTTTTTAAGGATTGACAATATTCAATTCATCATCATAACTACTTATTTAAAGATGATTTAATGTGTAATAGGTTGTATTACACGCTCGAATCTACAATTGTATAATTATTTTCGAATAGGGGTAGTTTTTACCCTAAAAAATTAAAAGCAACTGTGCCGGGGGCACAGGGTCAACTTTGAAGTAGAGGAAATGTAGAACCTAAATCCAAATTTTGGTGCAAATCGGTGCTGTTTGGGAAAATTATACAGTAACGCCGTATTTTACCTTCAATGACTGGGCTATACCTAATTACTAGAATCATAAGATTGTCATGCATCATGTAACTAATATCCTATGTATATCATTTGACGTATATGAGAGTCCCGGTTTAATTATCAATTTTTCAAAAAATTGAAACTTTATATTTATGATCCTGGAGTTCTTGATAATAGATCTGTTGAGAATATGTTTCAAAACATTGCCATAATTTTACACTATTATAGGTATGGTTCTTCTAAAAATTGAAACTATCTAGGTATACATGTATAAAATCAAAGAAACTAGTTAATAGTGAAAATACTTTTTGAAGAATTTGATAAAATATAGCAAATAAATGTTTATTTCTTGTCAAAATAAAAAAAAACAGAAGATATCGATTTTCCTTGATCATAGAGTTGTATTTGAACTACTAATAAAGAAATTGTTTACACGTCAGGTTGGCCGAGCGGTCTAAGGCGCCAGATTTAAGCTCTGGTTCCCGAAAGGGAGCGTGGGTTCGAACCCCACATCTGACAAACCTTTTTTTTTCCTTAAAATTATTAAATATTATCTGGTGAAGTTTTTCTGTGGGTCCTCGTATTAAACTTGATTGAAAAGAACTTTCACAGTACTCTTAATTTAAAATAAAAATGTTTTACTATAATAAAAGTTCGAATTTAAACTAAAGTTACCTTATTTCTTTTTTATATCTAAATATCTAAATACTTGTTTTAGTATAAAAAAAACAAAAAATGTTAGATTTAACTGCCATCTACGTTAGCCAATTCAATCAATCAACCCATTTATTTTTTTGCTCTAACAATGTTCATAGTTCAAAAGTAATATAGAATTCCCTGACTTTTCCCGGTGTTTCCTGGATTATAAAAAAAAATTCAGCTCATTTGTAGTTCATTTTTACATACTAATTGATGTTTATGTTTTAAAATTTTTCTAGACTGGACTTTATACCCAAAGAACCTCTTATAAAGGTTTCAAAATCACAAATAGTTTTCTCTTTCAAGAACCCAGGGCCGGCTTTCACAAAATTTCCGGTTGCAATGGTCAAATTCCTCGACTTTCATGAATACTTTAAAAATTCCCTGATTATTCCCTTTTTTTATGAAGAATAATAAATTCCCTGACTTTTCCCGGTTTTCCAGGCCACCATGTATGATCCCTGTCTATAAATACTGGCTTTTCCAAAAATAGCCATATTATTAAATAAAATTCTGAAAAAATAAGAAAGTAGCAATAAAAGTAAGTTGAATAGGTCGGCTATAATCTCCTTAAATGGAGTATCTAATATTTCTTTCTAATTTTGAACAATGTAGGTTGAGAATCTTTAGGGGTAGGTATTTCTGTGTCATCATTAAAGTATATAAACAAATTAATTTTAAACTGGGATATTGATATTTTAGTCAAAAAAAATAATCTAAATTTAAAATGAAAACAGCAAAACGTGAACAAGATACGTTGTCGATACACTGTGAAAAATGTGCTTATAGCCAATATTTTACTATATAGAGTAATTGCAAAATTACAGCCACAAACACCCCCTTGTTATCATTTTTAAAGTCGCTCTTTTCTTCGACATTTCTCATTTTAAAGAACTCTTCACTCTTCTACTGATACAACTGGTTTTGCAAGAATCTCGTGGAAGTGGAAATAAATATTAAAAATTTGATTAAAAATAGTTTTTTTCATTTATGCTAAAGGTTAAAACATTCAATAATAATACCACTATAGTATAGTAACAGCTTTGTTCATGATTCTATACTTCTATGTGGCAAAGTGGTGCAATTTATGGGGCAGGTTTCGGGTTTCAAAGGAATAGAAAATAAAGGTTTTCAATTAAAAATTGTAAATTTTTTATTGGTCCATAAAGCATACTAAAAAAATAATAAAAATACTTTATTTGTACCGTTGAGAGAGCGTTTTATTTTTGTTGTTCAGCGAAAGCAACCCTCAAAATTTATAATCCATGTGGCCAATGCTGAATACCAAAACGGGAAATTACAAGACCAGAAAATGACTCTTGCAGTGCAACTGAATTGATTCTCAGGCTGTATGGCCTGTGGCACCGCTGGTACATACGCATGCTTTTCGCAATTTTTCCATGATCGTTTCGCATAAATACGGCTGAATTCCGTCGATATAGCGCTCGATTTTCACCATCAAGGCGTGGATGGTTGTGGGTTTATTGGCATAAACCTTAGACTCCAAAGAAAAAACTCCAACGGCATTAAATCCTATGATCTAGGCGGCCAATGCCGATCGCCAAAACGGGAAATTGCAAGACCAGAAAATGACTCCTGCAGTAATTGAATTGTTTCTCAGATTGTATGCCTGTGGCACCGTCTTGTTGAAACCATATGTCTACATCCATATCTTGCAATTTAGGCACAAAAAACTGGCACCATTAACACAGTTCTTGAGTCGATTGGACTTTGTAAGCATGAAGAGGCAAGTCTTTCGTGAGAATAAGCTGTAAGAGCTTCTCGAAATGTCCAGTTCTTGACCACGGTACAGAATTGATAAAAAATTAAACCATAAATTAGATAAAGATTTTATTTCAATGAAAAATGTTACACAAAACATAAACAATTTTTATTAACATAGTAAATAATTAAAATAAACATTCTTCTATGCCCTAGATGTAAAAAGTAGGCTCCCTATACCTCTCATATCAAAAAAATAAAGTTTCAGTATCATCTTTAGAGATACACTTTGTTAGGCAAATATAGTGACAGTTGCTAGTTCTTAGGACTAGGCTGGGATATGGATTATTTTGTTTTGCCTCATTGCACTTGTCATATTGAACTTTTATTTTAAACAGTTTGTAATGATGAAATATGCTGAAATTAGAATTTGAGCATTTTTAACAATAATTATTTAAACACATTATACACGGTGTTAGAAGTTTGACTGAAATAAACAAAAAAAACTTATATAACATGAGTCCTAAACTCAACCATTTCCGATAAAAAAATTATCAAAATCTCCAACTGCATGCATAGAATACCATAAAATACAATGTTTATCACTTTTTCAACTTGTTAAGTCTAAAAAGTAATTAGCATTGTAATAAATTTGAAATTCGATAAAATTCATAAAACGAGCAATGTGACAACGGCGCGGCGGATAGCACGAGGTACTAAGCTGTCCAGCAATACGCAATTCAGTTGGAATCTGGAATTGGACCGTGTCTCAGTGTTTTTTGCGTACCACTATTTCCTTTTCTTGAGGTGTTTTCCAGCTAGTGCACGAAAATTGGATTCGAAGGTGTTGTGCGTGCATCGAAAATGGCGGTGGACATTTTGGGCATATGTTGTGGTTTGTTTTGTACATGTGTTTAAAAATGATTGAATTTTGCTTTTTGGTAAGTGCCTAAATTATTTTTAATACGTATGATTATTTGGACGACGTGAATCTTTGGGTACTTTAATTACATATTTTTCAAATACATAACGTGAGTACACATGCCGCAAGTGACCCATAACATAGCAAAACGTCAAGAGCGTCAGTCTGACGCCGCCCGGACGCACCAGGGTTCCAGGAAGGATCCACGGCGAATTGGCGTCGGCGACCAGATGCTTACTCGGATACCTGCGAACGAGTCCACACACGACGGACTCTCCAGCGAACGCTCGCTCCGACAACACGTCTTTTTCACAAACTTTGTTTTCAATAAAAATACTTTTATTTTTACCGTTGAAAGATAGTTTTGTTTACTGCACACCGAAAGCAACCCTCAATAATTTGATTAAAAGTTAAGTTCCTGTTTTAAGAGATTCATAATTTCTAAAATTCGAGCTAAAATTTAAGCATTTAGTAATACAAAATCGATACAATTTATTTCTTATAAACTGGAAAACAATTGTCTTGAAATTTACTAAATGTTTCACAATAAAAATTGTTTACATTTTTTCCGTAGGACAAGTCTACCGCGTGCACGCGCTGTTGTCACGTTGTGATGAAACTCTTCAATATTAATACTCGCAGTATTTTGAAAGCTGTTAATCTTACGCCCTGTAATATACAACTTTTTGTTCATTTATGATTACTCTATCTCATGCTGATGTTATGGCAGTCATACTTCTTACACCCTGTATATAAAATATAGTTCTTAAATAAATACAATTAAAAAAGAAATAAAAATACTTACATATTTTTAAAATATCATAAAAAAGTAACGGTACTTCTCCTTGAAAGACATAATTATAGTACCTACAAATATTTATGTAATATATGGCGACTAAACCGTTATTAAATAACTAGATGAACCGCATGCTATCAGGATGAATACTATATGAAATGTATATTCATTTTACAGTTCTTATTATAAAACAGCTATAAAATTTGTATACATATTGATTGATATATGCTTTTGGGATATCAGATATCATTGTAATCAAAAATTACATTTTTTTAATAGTGAATTTTTACATGTATATCGAGTTTGTTTGTATTGTTGGTGTTGGTTGACTGGAAAACTTCAGATCAATACACCTGATAACAATATTAATCAAATACCATATCCGTAATTTTTAAGACAAGCATGTGTACGTAACACACATATACAACTGCCATACAAAGTACTAAAAGTTACCATTGTTATGTATTTTTGAGCTTAAGAACGAATATAACGTCGTCCAACCAATAGTACGACTGTTGAAGATCTCCCTCGCACAAGTAAGGCACTCTGCTCCAAGATTCTACCTCGAAGTTGGCTGGGGTTAATACATCGTCAACGATGCATCTTACTTGTTCTTCAAAACAGGAACCGTTTATAGGCAGTAGTTCTTTAGGCTTGTGGTCTGGGGCACCTACAAGATTCAAAGTTAGTTCAAAATTATCACATACGCTTTGATTTAAGAAATATGGCAAACTGTCAGAATTGGGTTAAAACGGGTCAGCAGTACTGCAGACACAACGAAGTTGTTACAAGGTTTGAGGTTCAGTATATGAAGGGGATTGGGAAAATCCTTCAAATCTTCATAAAAAAGTGGTCTAGGTATATCCTGTGTAATTAAGCAAGGAATTTTCTAAAACTCTTTCATGTCCTAAAACTCCAGATAGAAAATTAAGCAAAGCTAATGTTTTTGTACATTTTATTCGGTTTTTAATGAACAAACGCTCTTGTTCATATTAAAACGTCGTCTTTGAGATATGGCATGTCGTATATACACAAACTATAACAGAAAGGAAGATTATAACATGAAAGAAAAAACTTTAAAATTGGCAATTGAGACTATATCAACAGGAAAGTTACTTTGGTGCATCTACTCGAGATGCTGTATACCCCAAGGTCTTGGAGAAAATTGCAGCTCATTTCGGAAAAGGCTGGTTTAACCTTAATTTGTTATGGGTAGTTGATGATGGACACATGGGGAGAAAAGTTATACGAGGGTAAGGGAAAACAAGTGCCACTTCATCCTCGTAAAAGGACATACAATAGTCATGAGTGTACCAAAGTGTAGTGTGAGAGTTTGATCAAGTACTTTTAACAGCTCAACCAAAAATAAAACCTCTCTTTTTTTGGTCATATCTTTTCAAAAATTATCTTATACCTAATTCGTAGTAATAAAATAGAGCTTCAACAACTTCTAGTATCAGTTGAGTTGCACATACCTGACTCCACATAGGCTGAAAAAGGTAAGACAACTGCTAGCAACACCCTTCCATCTGGTTTCAAAGAGGTCAAGATTTGATTTAGTAATTCCAAAGGGGTATCGCAGCGGTCGATTAGATTCAGACAGGATATGACATCAAACTTTCGGTCCAAGTACCAGTTGTCTATGTCCAATAGCCTGCAAAATATTAATAGCAAATTATAAGAACATTCAAATATACTTCACAATAAAATAGTACTAACAATTTCGACAAATCCAAGTACATAATTATGAGAAAGTTGAATCTATTCGTGTATCTTCAATGTGATAAATCTACAATGCGAAAAATTTCAACATCTATGGGAGCTTTTCGACGATGGAATGTGGATTTATATCATCGAGATCCGCAAATAAAATTTAAAGTCGATCCAATGAGTCCATAAGGGTTCTGTACCTCGAAAAAAGGTGCACAATCTTCAGCTGGGAAGGTCACGGTCACTGGGGGACCAAACATAAACTATTTTTATTGAATTTATGCCAAAGGGCATGATTATCAGTATGAGGTGGATTAAGACAAAATTATAGTTAGAAATTGAAGAGAAAATCATGATTGGAGAAATAGAGACAGATACAAAAGAAAGTGACAATAATAGGCTGTTGAGGCCTGACATACGGAAACTAGAGAATGAAAAAGAGAATCGAACAAAGGAATATAAAGGATTGAAGTGAACAGGACATTAGAAGTGCATATAAGAGCAAATTGGACTAGAAAGGAAAAGTAATAGATGGATATTTATAGATAGAAGGGAGATAGGAAGAGAGGAATTATCAAAGTATAGGTCTAGAAAGAATAAGGATTGGTGGAAAGGAGAGGGAAAGATCTCGTAAGAAGTGAAAGTAAGAAAGAGAAGGAAAATAAAGAAGTGGTAGGATTGGAACACGAACACGAAGATAGCGGGGGGTCGATGGAGGAGAAATAGTAGGTTAAGATAGTAAATGTAATGATAGTATAAGTAAAGAGTAATAAAAGGGTAAGAAAAAAGCTAAGTGGAGATGGGAAGGTGTTCCCTTGGTGGTGGTTTTGGCAGATGGGGAGTGATTCGATGTGGAAGCTTAAGCCGAAAGGCAGGCAGGCCGGCGGGTGCGCCATAACATTCATGTAACTTCTCTGAGCTGGGCTTTCTTATGCAGAAATTTGAAAACGGGACGTCATTTTACGGACGATGACCAATGTTGAAGTCCAAAAAGACTATTATAGAAAAACAGTCTGTTGCTTCATTCTTAAGAAGAAAACTTTTCCAGTGTATTTCGTATCCTTAATTTTTATTTGTAAATCAGAAAACAAGATGTCACTTCGCTCTAAAAGCACCTAATCCTTTCAGGATGCCAGAATGTGAGCCTCGAATTTATGACATTCTGTAGATAGAATTAATCAATTTAGTATTTTGAGATTTTATAACAACTACCACATAAGTGTAAAAGGCAACTGTTTTACTGTAATTGATGATTTGCTATTGGAGAATCTCTTACAATTAAACTTATTCGATTCATAAAACTGGAAGTGCATCATTGCCATGGAGAAATAAAGATAATCACATTTTTATATTCCTTTGAGCTCAGGTGGGGACATTCCAGGTAATTATGTGAACTTCCAGATTAACCATATAACGAGGCATAATAAACAAAGTGATCAAAGTGCTGTTAGCTTTATTGGCGATAAATTCTGTAGGTTTTTAGATTGCCACGACAAGAAAGTAAGAGAGGCAGAGTCCGAACACCCCTTGTTTCATCCACGGACGCTGGCGTGCCCTTCCAAGGCAATAATACGGCAATTCGACGTTATCGACTATATCTGAAGTAATTAAAGTCATTTCATGTTCGTTTGTTAATTGAGTTCTCGGTGCAGTAAAACTTAACCCATAAAACTAAGTGGGCACCGAGTTAATTAAGAAAAGTTACTTAGTAGATTGGACGCATCGTCTTCTCCGGCCAACTAACTACTCCCCCCAGTCCAACTTTACGATGCTTAATCAAGATATTCCGCTAATTAGTCCCGAGGCCATCACCTGCATGTGTTAAACAGAAATATCGCTGCACTCCGAGAAAATCGTAAATTCCTCCCACGTGTTTTACGGTCGTGTACACCCCTCGCCATAATTTAGGACCACCATATTTTAACTCTGGAAACATGGACTGTAAATTTGTTTCTTTATCGTCACTGGTCAGACAGGCTTTTGGCTACAGGGCGTTTCAATGTTCCACCGACAATGTTCTTCAGAGGTTTCACCGAACAAAAATAAGGAAAAGGGTTCGAAAGAACGTAACTCAGCTAGCGTTTGGTTTTTAAGATTCACGCTCAGAAATTTCCATTATCATTTTTAGCTAGTTATTTAATTAATGATTTACAACTAGCATTGATTTATACCAGCAAATATCTATGTTATAGTTAAGATTACGGGCAGAACCGGACTAGATATAATTTAGTACGGCTTCTTAGAATATCATTAATTAAAAATTTTGTGTCGCCTAGTCTGGCATTGCTTCATTCTTAGTAAATTTCTCATAGTGCCAGTAGATCGGCATTGAAGGCTTAGGAATTGAGATCAAATTCAAATATTTCAAAAAAAAATTATGCGTGGAAATTATGGTTCGCAAAAAGGGTTTATTTTTCCGTGCCTACGCCATTGGTAACTAAAACATGTGTAACATCTAAGCAATAACTGTACTGAAAATAATCATGGACACTGAAGATATTAAAAAAGTATATATTTTTTTAAATTTAAGAGTTCAAGTTTTAGGAAACAATTCAGTGAATATCCAACAAGGATCCTAACTTATGTAGGCTACTTTACACTGATTGTAGAAATGCGTTACAATTAAAACTGTTGCGTGTTTTACTATTACTGGTTTGATCACGTTTCAAATACTACCCACTCTCTTGGAAATGTACATGCATTTCGCAGAATAATTACAAAAATTCATTAAGTAATGAAATGTTCGTCAATATTTCTATACTCGTAATTTCATATCGGTAATAGAATTGCTGTTACTTTTTAATTACTTACACAATTTTTTAACTAGGCAATAAATACAGAAAAGAAGTACATTACGTATCCTACAAGAATAAGAACCTGAAATTTATGAATTGTTCCTGCAATATTTATAAAAAAGGCCTTTTTGAGCCTGAGATTCTGGATTGTACGTTCATCATTTTTTAGATATAGCTCAAAAAACATAAATGCTACAATATTTGAAGAAAGAGTAGAGAAAATACTCTTCTGACTCTGGATATGTATTATTATTCTGATTCTTTGCTTTTCAAAACTTCCAAGATTAAATCATAAGCGAACTAAATGAACTGCTTCTGCAGTAATCAGAGGCTGCCAAAAATGTTCTTCAATTGTTTGTTAAGATCAATTATATCCTGATCTTATTGTTTTAGTAATTTTTAATGTTACCGAAATTTATTTGCCAGCATGAAGGAAATAAAATTCCTGTCCCAAATTGGTCACGTGGAAAGTATTTTGAAATGTAGGTAAATGTAATCTTTATCTGTTTTTGATTTGATTAAACCACAAACTCGAATCCGCAGAGATAACAAACTTAATAAAGAAGTACTGATTACTTTTTGGGAAAATAAAATCGAAAAGAATGTTTCACGATTTTTTCATATTTAGATTAATATTTCAAAATTCAGTTCAGTTAAGTAACTGAATCCTAGATGCTAGATGGCAGTAGGTGTTTATTTATCACGCCATATATGATTCTACAGCGATAAAATTAATCAAAAATTACATTTGATTCATTATGATGTAACGAGTGTCACACCCTGTATGTACTACTTTCCTGAATTTCTAACACACAAACAATATTCCGGATTTACTCATTTTACTGTGACGTACACAGAATAAGTTTTGCTGTTTACATATACGAGAAATATCATTAGCATTTATTAAACCATTGTGTAGAAGAACGACGCCTCGCAATGGAAGATTTTGTAAATTATCCCGAGCTATGCTCCAAAAACATGTTCCATATTAGAATGACAACATTCTTCCAGTTACACTGCGTTGAACGTTGATATAATTTATGCCAACCGCTGCTTGTCAATATTTAAATTTCACCAATCCAAAATATTCAGTTATTCAATTAGACTATAAAGAGGCTGTAATTTTCGTATCTCGATTAATTCATGTAACTCGATAAATTCCAGGTATAATCCGTTTTATTGACCGCTGCGACTTGCTGCAGTTGCCCATCGAATTTATTCATAACAGACCCATATTCCAGTTTTATTTAGTGGCCATAAATTGTACGTTAATTTTTAGGCGTAGATGTAAAGTGAATTTTTAAGGGTTCTAAATTTAATGGGGCGGAAAATTTTAATTTTCCTCAAGGTGTAATATATTTAAATCACGTTGTCATAAAACGAGCTACTGAAAGTTGTACGTACCCAGTTTTATTCACAGGGTGTATAAAAATTCATTCGCCACCCAATTTTTTTTCTGAGCCTGACAAATAATACATTTAATTCACAGATTTAGTTTGTCCCTAGGTTTGTAGAATACTAAGATGCTTCCCCTACTTCGATACAATTTGTTAACTGTTGCTGAATCTCACCACAGCAGGGAAAATAGTGATTGAAAATAAACCAGATTTGGGTTCGACTGACACTTAAATTAAACCTTAATTAACAGTATTTTTTGAACTCCCTTAGGCTCTGGCTTTAGCTAGAACGCATACAACAATCTCCTTTAATAAAAAATGATTGGTTGTTCTATAAAACATCAAATATGGGAATAAAGTTACAATATTCATTCCTTAAGCATTGTACGTACTTGTAGCCGTTTTTCATTTTTATTGTTAAGTCGTATTCATTTGTTTTACGGTGTTCCCATTTTAATAAATGTCGTTTTTTTCTTCAGCAGTTCCACATGATTGTAATAAATTGGTTCGTGCATTAAGTTATTTAAATACTGCCGAAATTCCTTACAAGGGCTATTAAACTTCACACCGAATTTATTTCCTGTAAAAAATATTACGCTGGAGGGTAAGAAAAGCTTATTTCAAGGCTCATCAGTAACACCAGTGGCCCATTATATATCCTATTAACGCGGCGAGGTAATTTATTTGTCCTCGATATTTTTCATCTAGGGCCTGTGTATAAACAAATGTAAATTGTATTATGGGCTACCGATGTTACAGCAGCTGTATCTTAACTGTAACAATATAATATTGTCTAGTGTAACAATTTAATATCCGTAAAATATCCATTAAAATATATGTAAGTTAACGGCAAACATTTTTTTATTGTACTTACAAATATGTATTGTAATAAAAGTTGATTTATTCGAAACAAATTTGATCTCTTCTATTTTTTGCGTAAATGTAGGTGCAACTTTTTGATTTTATTATAATAAAAATACATTACATTGAACGAAAACAGACATCACAATGAAAAAAACAAATTAAAAACCATAAAATATTGTTATGAATTGGAAATGACTACCTCAGTAAAAATTAAGAAAAATTCCGTAGAATTGAATGAACCACTTTATTCCAGTTGAATATTACGGTTTCATTTTCAAAATGGCGTCCAAACTTCGCAAAAAAATAGTATTTTTCATTTAAAAAAAAACTAAATATTTTAGAAAAAATGTTTTTGGCAACAGTCGTAGAACTTTCTATATCTTTAAAACGAAAGAAGATTTTTTTACGAAAGTATCAGAATATATAGTCCTTGTCAAGTAAAATAAGTGCATTTTTATAAAATTACAAAATATTTGATAGTTTTTGCAAAAATTGATTTTATCGAAAAAAATACATTTTTTTCAAGTTTCAATAAATCATACAGTAATGCACTTACGTGACCTATCTTGGGCATAAAATTTTCTCTAAGAGTGGTACCTTCCTGTGCAAATTGTGCGCGTATTGCAAAATAATTGGGAATATGCGAAAAATCTACCGAGACTGAATTCCTTTTTTAGGTCGAAAAATGCAGATCCTTTTCTTATTGTTGAAATTTAAATGAAAGCTGACATTTTTGATAATAATAATAATAACATATATTTCCTCTAGTCAATACAACAATTGAATAGGAATAGTCAAAAGAAAAGTACATAAAGACAAAACTAATTTACAATTTAAGATTAACTAACAGAAACTTGATTAACAAAATATTCTTTCACAGAATAGAAACATTTATCAACCAAGTATTTTTTCAGAGCCTTTTTGAAGCTATAAACAGAGGTACAAATTTAATATCATCATTTAATCTAATAAACATTCGTATACCAAGACAGTTAGGTGAGTTAAAAGACATATTACACCTCCCAAAAGGTATACTAAAATGGCAAAACTGCCGTGTATCAATTGAATGAATCTGATTTCTGTGGACAAACTGATTTTTGTTGACAAAAATATATAGACACATTTCATACAACAAAACAGAAGGCATTGTTAAAATATTGTAACAGACGAATATCCGTCTACAAGATTCCCTAGCTGACATTCCGAACATACACCTAATTACACGTTTTTGAGCAACAAATACATTATCACCGTGGCAAGATGGGCCCCCAAAAACAGATACCATATCGCAAACGCGATTCTACCTGGCAGTAATATAGTTTCAATAATTATTGATCAATGGTCAGGACTTTTCTGATATTTCGTAATTGATATGATATTGAATTTAACTTCATTGCTAATTCGTTACATTGATTATTCCACTCATCCAGAGTTAATCCTAGAAATGTTACAAGATTTGTGTTATTAATTAGTATATTGTTAACATTAACATCAATACTATCACAGAGCTTTTGTCTATTGTGAAATCTTATAACCTGAGTTTTATTGATATTTAATTTATTTAGTTTAGTTTAGTTTTCTTTTTAAATGAAAAAAAATATTTTTTGCGAACTTTGGAAGCCAATTTGAAAATGAAGCCCTGACATTCAGCTGGGGTAAAGTAGTTCAATCGATTCTACGGAATTTTTCCTAATTTTTACGTGTCATTGTTTACTGAACAAAATTTTGGCAAAAAAACGAGGAATTTTCGACAATTTGACTGGACTATAAGTAGAAGCATTGACTTAAGTCTCCAGTTAAAAATTCCTGGACAAATTTTGAATTAGAACATTAATCTTTAAATTTTACTTTAAACAAATATAAAGTGATGTGTTTTTGTATTCTGCATTTGTCTGCTATTGTCAGTGTGGGATTTTTTGGTTAGGCAAACTTATTTTTATAAAAGTAACCCCGGACTAATCAATCCATTTGGTGTAAGGGTCTATTTCACCAATTTTAAATTTGTTTTTTATATTGATAAAATATCGATGGAATATTCACGTCATTAGATTTTGTTAGTTAACTACGGGGTTAAATTCCATTATATTATGTTCGGATTTAATTGCGGACAACCTCCTGCTTCGAAACCGATACCAGTATTTAAGTGGGCACTTAACATTTTATGGCTGATCAGTTTCAGTGGATATTTTTATTACGCATAAAAATACAATATTATTAATGCAATTAATGATAATGGTGCAAACACATCTTCCATGCTTGTTGCCTACCTCGTTCGACCAGTTAAATGGAGAATTATACTCACACCTGTCCCTTGGATTAGGAAGAAAATTGAATTGAATGTAAAAGCAGCATATTTTAGTACAGAAGTAATAATTTAGTAATTAACATATATCAATGTAGATGAGGAGATATAAGAGTAAATTCTACTCTTTACTGATAACATTTACATTTCCTTAAAATGTTACAGCGACCTTTTAGGACGGATAAAAAACAAAATTTTCAGAACGAAAAATTTACTATATACTTACTCGTATCCCCGGCGATGAAGCAGGGTCCTCATGGTGCTAGACATTTCCGTGGCGTAAACTTTAAAGAAGGCAGGAGCGATATGGGCCGTCACCTCCCCGTCACCCGCGCCCAAATCGAGTAACGTGTCTGCTCTCCAATTATCGTCTATTTTAAATAATTTCCTAAGCTGGGGTTGAGAGATTACGAACATGGAACCACGCTGGAGCCACCTGCAACAATTTTGGATGATTTAAAATCGTCCTCTCGTGCTTGCTGCGTCTTTTAAAGTAGTGTAGGTTGTTTGATGAAGGTAGACGATGTCAGATCATGGTTTTTATAAATAATTTAACTTAATAAATTGTTTTTGTTATAATTTTGATAACGGGAAAGGTAAATAGGAGCTTAGTTTGGTCAAATTAAATAAAAAATTTGGCTGGGGCTAGCACAGGACTTACAACAAAAGTTAGCTACCCAGAAGACTCCACTAATGTTGCACTGAATCTGAATTCGTTGTTAGTTTTACTCCAGCAACTACAAGATCTGAGTAAATTAGTCAAAATGGCCAAAAATCTCCAAAAATCGTGGAATAAACCAAAACTGTAAGTGTATTCCTATTTTTTTGAGCTTGGGTCAACGAGGCTGACCTAAACTCTGTTTGATTAAACTGATTCTTTGGATGACTAAAAAAAATAGAAAGAAGGAAGAAAAAAGTTTCAAGAATCAAAGATTTTTTATGATGTTTTTACATACTTATACGTATGTTTTCATTCTTAATGTTCTTCTAGCTGCTATGGAACTCAATCTTGTACATTCTGTTTCAGATCTTATTACCCAATAGTCTTGATTAATTTGTATTCGAAATACTGGAACTATAATTGGTATAATGAGAATTTAACAATCAGATTTTGAGTGTTAAAGTCATGCATAGTGTATTTTTTAAGCTTTTAGATGATTGCAAAGAAGAAAACGTCAGTTAAGATCATAATTTAGCATCTGCTATTGCATGTTTATGTTTATCAACGATTCTAAATGTACAATTTCATGATAAATGATCAGTTTTGTAAAAATGAACTGTAGCTCATCGCGCATTACTAGTACTGGTATAAACTGAATATTTTCGCATTACTGAAACGAAATAAAGTACCAACACCACTCACCGTAATTAAAAACGTCCCGATTATAATTTTTACGGTTGGAATTTTAAAATGTTTACTCACCGTGATGAAACCCAATAATTCGATAAGAGTGCCATTTTACAGCCTTATAGCGCTTCTTATCGGAATAAGTGCTGATTTAAACGACCCTCATTTACATCGAGTTTAGCACAGTTGTGTCGGGACATGACTAGTTAAAAGTGTTTATATTAATACAAAGTACTGTAAATGGTATTGTTGGCCATTGTGTTCGGGAAACATTCAAATTTAAAGACTTATCTAACTTGCTGTGACCATAAACGCTAGCAAATTTAAATTTACGCTAATTGTATTTACAACCTCGGGTATTGTATATTTTCATGAACATAAAGTTTATGAAAGGCAACTGAAAAATTGTGGTTGTGGGATAGCATCTGCTGTTCAGCAAAAACATGCTCGTTGCAAATAGTAGAAGGTATCTTAAGTGGGGTGCATCATTCAAAGACGAAGATGGTAATAAAATAGAAGAATTATTGAACTTCATTGTTTTTCTGTAATACGAATTCTTTACTTAAATTTTATTTAAAGATAAATAAAATATTTACTTACTTCAACAAAACAAAATTGAAAAAAAATTGTCGAATTTCGAACAGAAAAAAAAACTATTTATTTACCCATATTTTAATTTTTTAATTGAAGAATTTCATGCATGATCTGTTTTATAAAAATTGTGAAAATACTAAAAAAAAATTATTTAGCAATTAAATCCACCGAAATTTCATCTATGAATATGCTCCTCAAAATATTTTCTGAAAATTTTAATTATATCGAAAAAATTAGGTTAAAAATATGGGATTAGTATTTTTTTTTTCATTTTTACTTCATTTAACTTTTAAAAAAGATAAGTGTCGATCAGGGAAAATTTCAAATGGTTTTAATTAGTAAGTATATTTTTTCCGAAGTCAATTGAACATGTATAAAACGCCTAGCAATAAAATTTAATGAGTGTCATGGGCGTCCCTAAAAAAAGTTTTCCGCTAAATAATAAAAATTTTTTATATAATGTGTAAAACATTTCTATTATATGTTCATTTGGCCAACAACATATATTAATTATTTATGTCCTCAATTTTCTTTACTTCTTCTACTAATTCAATATTGTCTGGCGGTATTTTGTTTAGTTCCCTTTCAAAAGGTCTCCAAAATGCCATGTTGTAATAATATTAGTAAACAAAATATCCCTCTTATTTCTCCCTTTCTCAATTGTAATATGAATGATTAATAGGTGTCTATAATAAACTAAAATTACCTGAATCCCACCAAATTCCGCATTGCTGCACTGCACTGCTAGGCAATTTGTCGACAACTGAAATTTATGGCCAATCGCCCAGTCCGGCTGTGTTTGTTCGCCATTTGCCCACACGCGCATTCTTCAACTGGGCGACCAGACCTGTATTTGGGTATGGGCGTTGCAACTTTTCTAGAACACCCTGTATATTTTTACTTTGTTTTTTTTACCATTCCAGTAGGTTATTTGCTGCATTATACTTTTAATGTGTTTGTTGTAACTATTATATATTTGTATTATTATAATTTGTTTCATGTAAGATATTCGTAATATTTATTTGAACATCGACAGAATTCAAATCCGACCATTATCCAATGCACATCTCTTATTCTTCGTCACCGCGGCAGACGCCACTATCAATAAAATTAAAAATTCCTCTTTCCAGGAGATCCAATAGCACTCCCAAGTATCCCAGTCAAATAAACGATATAGTTCTCCAGAGACAAATTAACCAGGAACTCATTCTGCGTGAGAATGTGTGTGCAGTTAGCGAGTAAATGCAAGGTGGCCATAGGCAGCCATGATTCCCGCATTAAAATATCCACGTAAGGCGGCGTTTTATATTTTTCAGGAAAACGAATAGCTGAAATATATTATTTCATTAAGTCGTGTATTGTTTTTATACAAAAATTGCAATTTCTGCAACATCGCAACTCCATATGAAGATTATCCGAGGAAGAAGATGCAATAAACATTGCTTAAGTAGGTACGGTTGTTGTTGGTTGGTTAATTTGTAAGTTTTCGCGGTAGTTGTCAATGCAGGATGAACAATTTCTGAGCATCTTGCCATTTCGTCGGTTTAGAGTTCGTGACATTTCGAAAGACATCTCGCTATCTCCCCCAGAATAAAATTCGAAGCCTGATGGATATTAAGTCCTCTGGTCGGTATTAATATTTACTATGTGTACTGGTCTAGTTAGTTCTTAGTCCTATGTTCATATTTATACTTTTTTTTAAGGAAGGTCAGGCAAAGAGTTGTCAGACACGTAATATCTACCGAATTGAGATGAAAAAAATTAGAGTTGCTTTGTAAAAGACATGTCATAGCTGAAAACTTACTGCCAACGACCGTGGCAGAGCGGTTCAATGGCCAGCTGGACCACCAGACCTGAATATTCCGGACTTGTTTATTTGGAGTATTTTATTAATTAATAAAAACTTTTTTAAATATTTATTGAATATACCTTTGAAATGTTTATACTTTTTTATCATCCTGTACAGTGAAGAAAGCTCAGGTACGGGTACAATTTAAAAAGTTTATTACTGGAGGACAAACCAAGCAATGTCGGCCCGAGATTTAGAGCACACTCCATTAAGCCATAGTTTACATGAAATAATAATGCAAATTGATGTAGAACGGATAAGCGTCCAATTCGAAATTGCAGGTTATCGGTGATCTCCCTGCTCGCCGGCAACCAGGGAACTGGGAAAGGCATAGGAGTGAAGTGGAGGGACCCGATGAACACGACCTGAGATAACTAGAAAGCGGATAATATGCAGAGGCAATATTCATTATTAAAGGAAGTTATTGTGTACTGGAAAACACGAATGGAGGCAACGATCAACATTACCGCTGCTCCAGGGCGAAAAGCTGACGCTTCGCATAAAATTTCGAACTGGAATTATCCGAGTTCCCTCAAACACTTGTCTTATATTACTTCAAGCAGCCGCGAAATTTTACGTGGTGGTGTTAATCGCTCTTATTTTCCTGTAGATCATGAGCAAAAATTAAGAAACAAAGGAAATAAAATAAAAATCAATCATGACAATCCAAAAAAAAACTTAAACATTTTATGCTAAAAGTTTTAGATAGGTTCTCTAGATTATAGATCAATATTATGATTAAAGTATATACCTAGTAGCTTCTTTTCAAAATGATTTTTTTCCAGTTATTTTTGCGGGAAGATAAACCAAGTTCAACATTTTAGCGTATATTATTGTCAGTCTATTTTTCGATAAGTTTGTGTCTTTGTTCTGAATGTACAAAGACAAAAATATTTATGTCATTGTCACAATGTACAATAAAATATAAAATGCAAACAGATAAATTACCGTTTAGACGTTAGAAGTTATAATAGACTAAAACCTTTTAGAAGGGAAGGAAAATAATCGTCGAACTTTCGTTGTCTTATTACATTTTCAGGACTCTATAGGTTTCCTTTTGTCAATTGGCAACCATAAGAACTTACTCGTTAAATAAATGAAACAAAGTATTTTGTCAAATCCTCTAGTGATATTTTTAAACCGATTTATTATTGCAATACAAAGATTATGAATTTTACAGTCTATTACTCGAAAACAAGAAAATAAAAAAATCTATTAGTTTTTACATTTTTCTGATAGGTATATATAAAATACTGAAATAACCAATACAGCAAAAATGTTTTAATACTATATTATCTACGATTTTGCAGCTATTACAAAAGAAAATATATTAATGTTTTTATAGTAACGTAGAAAATGGTAATAATAATTATTGTTAGATGAGTGTTAAATCTACTGTTATTTCACAGTATTAATTCCGTTGTACACTATACAATTTTTAGTTTTTATGCTGAATTCTTCTTAATGGATTCATCATCTTAAAACCAAAATTAGAAAATACCTTTATCCACTTGCCTGGTAATTAAAAAACAATTTATTTTACCAACTTTTCATGTTTTTCTATGAATCCGAGATTGATTAACAGTATTCAAGTAAAAAATAAATTACTATTTAATATTAGAAGTGGAAGATCTTTTTATTTTGA